TATGGGTATGATATCGTATAATGATGCGGGCTAGTGATGAGGTCGTCTATGTGTATGACTCTATGTTAGATATTTCTCACTTAGCTTCAATGCTGAGCATGTAGCATTTGTTCTTTTGCTACACGTAGGTAATCCAGAAAATGAGGAACTTGGATCCAATCCCGGAGGGCGATGAAGATGAGGAGATGTGTGTGGCTGTTTTTTGATTATTTTGAATTGTTACTTATCCATTAAATGACTTGTTACTTTTACAAGGTTGAATCTTAAGTTGTGTTTTAATAATAACTTATGCTTCCGTAAATGTTTGTTGGAATAAGTGACCAACGCTAGAGGGGGGTGAATAGCATTTGATCGTAGAAATCGCAGGAATAAAAAATTAAGAACGTGAAAAGTAAAGAGCGTAGAAAACGTAAAAGGAGCACACCAAGATTTATACTGGTTCACCACAACGTGTGGCTAATCCAGTCTCCCGAGAGGCTCTCTCGAGCTACACTACTTCCGTTAAGCTTACGGGTGCTTAACAAACTGTTACAACCTGAGAACTCGAGTCCCACGAGCCTCAATACACTTGCTCGGAGATACCGCACTCCAAGACTTCAACCCGAAGGAAAATACCTTTCCTTCGTACAACCAAGGGAAACAAGCTTCCCTTAACGTGTATACAACACTAAAAACACTCAAGAACAAGACTCTCTTTAAGAATAGATGTTGAGTAAACTATACCCTCAAGAACAACTCAAACTTCACACAATTTGGCTCTAGAAAGCTATGAAAAAGATGTTATATGAATGCAATAATAATGTGTGTAATGTGAAGTGAATTTCATGTGAAAAGCAGACCCAAACACCCATTTTTTTAGTGCCAAAATATGCTCTAACGGATCAAGATATTAAAGGAGTGATTGGCATGATTTATGGGATTGATATTAAAATGTGGATCTACAGTAGATTGGCTTTCCCAGCGATGTATGGACTTACCCATCGCTGGTAAGCCAATTTTCCTTGAGTTTTGAAGCCAACGGTCATCTACCCATCGATGTGTAAATGCTTCCCATCGTTGGTTTTGAAGCCAACGGTCACCAAGATTTATACTGGTTCACCACAACGTGTGGCTAATCCAGTCTCCCGAGAGACTCTCTCGAGCTACACTACTTCCGTTAAGCTTACGGGTGCTTAACAAACCGTTAAAACCCGAGAACTCGAGTCCCACGAGCCTCAACAACACTTGCTCGGAGATACCGCACTCTAAGACTTCAACCCGAAGGAAAATACCTTTCCTTCGTACAACCAAGGGAAACAAGCTTCCCTTAACGTGTATACAACACTGCAACACTCAAGAACAAATACTCTCTTTTAGAGTGGATATTGAGTAAAATATATACGCTCAAAAACAACTCAAACTCCACACAATTTGGCTCTAGAAAGCTATGAAAAAGGTGTTGTATGAATGCAATGATAATATATGTAATGTGAAGTGAATTGGTGTGTAATGCAGACCAAAACACCCCTTTTTATAGTGCCAAAATAGGCTCCAACGGATCAAGGAATTAAAGGGGTGATTAGCATGATTTGTGGTAAGCTAATTTTCCTTCAGTTTTGAAGGCAACGGTCACCTACCCATCGATGGGTAAACACTTCCCCACGCTGGATGGGAGGTTGACTTTCAAACAAGGAAAGAACCAGGCTTAAATTACTCACAATAGTCATGCCTAACCAGCGATGGGTATGCCCTCCCATCGCTGGGTTCCCATCGATGGGTTTAAGTCTCCATCGCTGGGTAAGGGCATTCTGCCTGGTGTTGATATTGAACCAAGGCTTGTACAGCGATGGGTAGAACTTCCCATCGCTATTTGGCACGGTTCTGGAATTTGGTTGAGCTGAGGACCGCTTACCCATCGATGGGTAGTGTCTCCCATAGCTGGGTTGATGGTTAGTCAAGAACCTATGGTTTTTGCCTGAACCATGGCCTAGCCAACCGATGCTAAAACCGACCGAAAAATGCAAAGTTCTCCAAAATAAAAATCAAGTGTTTAAAACACTTATTTAATTTATTTGGCTAAGAAATCAAGTGAGAAACTTTAAAAACCATGTAATTTAAGTAAAAACCATGGCTAGCCAAGTTTATGCCGTTTTGCATGGTTTTTGCCAAACGACCAAAAACGAAAGGTGGTTTTTAAAGTGTTTTTGTTGGAGAACTATATAAATGTGCCCAAAAGTAAAAACCAATCATAAAATGTTGAAAACCACTTGGTTGGTTCGGACGCCAAAAACCAACCGAATGCCGAATGCCGGTTTCTGAAAACTGAACGCCGGATGGCTTGGTTTTTTGTTTGGGCGAAACACCAAGTGTTTTTAATGTGTTTAAACATGTTTGAAAAACATTTTGATGATGTGTGAAATGCAATAAAAAGTGTTTTAGCTTAAAGAGCCAAAGTGCAAACAAATTTGTGACCGACTCAACGACACTAAAACTACGGTCTTCGTTCTTGGTCTCTTTTAGCCCTTGCTTTCTTCTCGTCTTTGTTTCTCGCCTTGTGTGTTCAACTATTTGTCTCGTTCATGGCGGTTTGGCATTATCAAAACATGTCATAAAAACAAACACGGCTTTAGTACGATAAAGTGGTAAACTCGTGTTGGACAATATTTTGATTATATTTTGAAGTACTTATTTGAGTTGTTTTGAAAATGAGTTGTGTTTGGATACCAATTTAGTAGCAATCTGGTTCGCTAATCCTTGTATTCAGGTTATGCGGGTTGGGGAGTTACATTTTGGTATCAGAGCATATGGTTTTAAAATCGATCTTCGGATCACAAAGGAATCGTTTCTAAAAAGTTTATCAACTCTGGGAAGGTAATAAGTTTATAGCTTTGTTTATTATGTGTTGTTGACTGACTAGGAACTTCTGTGTGGAATTTAGATGAGTGACGCATCGACTAAGCACATGACAACACCCAGCAAGTTGGTGACGAGCACGCCAATGCCCAAACGGAGGCATCCAGCTTCATGCCTCATCAGAATGCTGGGAGCCTACAAACCACTGAACGCTGAGAACAACCCAAACAACGCAAACCAGCCTCAGTTTTCTATGCCTGCCTTTATGGCTCAGTTTCTGCAACAAATGGAGAACGCACCAATGTTCCAGCCGCCTACTCTGCCGCCGCCATGCCAGGTCACTTTCAAAATCCTTAAGGAGACAACTGAGTAGAAGAGTTCTTTGGTGATTGAGTAGCTGAACCTCAGGTGGCACTCGATTAGATTGATCAAGTGGCCAGGATGTTGGGCAACCTGAATGTACCGATAGGAGATCACCCAAGGTTGTCGTCTCAATTGCTCTGAAAAGGGGCGTACAAAAAGTGGAAGCGCGCCGACCGCGACCCGCAGACGCCGAAACCGTGGATGCGGGCCTACTTTGATTGGGCCTTTAAGAAAGAGTATATACTATTGGAACACACTTTGTACGATAAACTAAAGTCGTGTTCATTTCTGACAGGTTTTGATAATTGCCAAACCGCCGTGGATATAAAGAGTTTCGTTGAATAACTCAAGGCGTGAAGAATGGCTTGGAACAAGACCTAAAAGACTCAAGGACAAGATCAAAAATTGAAGACTTAGTCGAGTCGGTCTTTTGTGATCAAAACCGACAATAAATTCAAGTCTCGGTTCTCAAAAAGTCAAAACAATTTTTACAAATCACAAAATATTTTTTTTGTGCATCAAAACAAACATTTTTGATGATTTCTTCTATTGTTAAAATCCATGGTCCTTGCTCAGAACCGAAACCACCTTAGTCGGCGTTCGGCTTTCGGCGTTCGGTTTTTGGCGCCCGAACCAACTCCATGGTTTTCAATTTTTTAAACCCTGTTTTTACCTCTGAGCATATTTAAAATGTTCCCAAATATTTATTTTATAAAAACCACTTTTGTATCTTGGTCAATCGGTCTAACACGTGAAAAACGGTCTAAACCGTACGCACGTATTATACGACCTTGGAGACTTGGTTTTTACCAAACAAGTCTTGTTTTCACTATTTTATACCATATACAATATTTTCCAAACCTGGTTTTTACTTTTGGGAACACTTTGTTTTTGGACCTCGGTTTTTCAAAACGGGTTTCAGCTGGCTAGACTTTAGCTGGGTGATAATCGATTATCACCTTAGTGACAATCGACTATCAGCCCCTGCAGCTTTGAACTTCCAAAGTTCTGAAGCACGCAATAATCGATTATCAGCTTTGAGATAATCGATTATCAGTCTTTGCAGCCAAAACCCAGAATCTTCTAAGAGGACAAATAATCGATTATCACTTGTTGACAATCGATTATCTGGGTTACCGTTGTCGTCCAACGGATAGAATTTTAAATTTTTGGACAGGGAATCTTTGGATAATCTATTATCAAGCTTTGACAATCGACTATCACCTTGTGTCTCTGAAAAATTTGTCTTCATCCTGTTGGAAACTCTAGCAACGGGTTTATCCCATTTTGGGCTATAAAATGGCACCCAAATCCTCTCCTTTTACAGAGAATTCTTCAACATTTCAATACTCTTTCATTGCATAAGCATTCCTATTTTTCTTAGCTATTTGAGAGCCAATTCTTGAATAAATTGTCGTGTTCTTGAGCGTTTACTAGTTCACTCATATCTACTCTTTGTGAGAGTTTTATTCCTGAGTATTTAAGTGTCTTCATACACTTTAAGGGAGGTTGTTCCCTTGTTGTAAACTCGAAGAAAATTACTTGTTCCTTCGTGAGAAGTCTTGGAGTGCGGTATCTCCGAGCAAAGGTGTTGAGGCTCGTGTGACTCGGGTTCTCAAGTTGTATCGGTTTGTTAAGCACCCTTAAGCTTAACGGAGTTAGTGTAGCTCGAGAGAGTCTCTCGAGGGGGCTGGATTAGCCACACGTTGTGGTGAACAGGATAAAATTCGGTGTGCGTGCTCCTTCCTTACGCTCTTTACTTTAACGCTCTCGTTTTAATTTCCTGCGATTTTGTTTTAAACGCTATTCACCCCCCCTCTAGCGTTGGGCCTTTATTCTAACAATTCGTATCGGAGCCATACTCTCTGAAAGACATAACCGTTTGAGAAAAACGATCAATGGCTTCTACTCAAAGTTCATACGCAGGTTTAGGTGAAGGGCAATCCACCACGAGGCCTCCATTGTTTGACGGAACAAACTACACCTATTGGAAGGAGCGCATGAGGATTTATATCCAATCCACCAACTTTCTCCTCTGGAGAATTATCAAAAATGGTGAGAACGTGCCAATGAAGAAGGTCGAGGAAACCAACGTCCTTAAGACCGAGGATGAATATGATGAGCAAGACATCAAGAAGGTGGAAAACAATGCCAAGGCCATCAACATCATTTATTGTGCCGTTAACCCGGATGACTACCGGAAGATTTCTTGTTGCACCACCGCAAAGGAAATGTGGGACAAACTAGAAATCACCTACGAAGGTACGGATCAAGTCCGAGAAGCTAAAATTGATTTTCTAACCCATGAATATGAATTGTTTCGTATGAAGGAAAACAAGAAAATCGATGAGATGTTTGAACGATTCTCCAAAATCGTCAATGATCTTCATGCTCTCAAGAAAACGTACACGGACAAGGAGCTAGTGAGAAAAATCCTGCGAAGTCTCACACCGGAGTGGCGCTCCAAAGCCGATGTCATTCAAGAGTCCATCGGCATCACAAACGTCACCATTGACGGACTTAGAGGTAGCCTCAAAACCTATGAGTCCACCATTCTATTCCCTTCTTTAGGTGAACAAAAGAAGAAGGGGATTGCACTTAAGGCTACCTCAAGCCAAGAACCCGCCATGGAGGAATCAAGCGATGAGGACAACGAGTTCGGGCTCGTCATCAAAAAATTCCACAAGTTCATGCGAAAAGAGTATGAACGAAAGGGCAAAAAGCATGGAGGACCACCCAAGTGCTATGGGTGTGGAGAAGTTGGGCACATCAAGCCAAAATGCCCAAATGCCAAAAACGAGAAGGAAAAGAAACCGTTCAAGAAGCACCGAGCTTACATTTCATGGGGAGGTGATTCCGGCGACGAATCATCGGAAGGCGAAGAAAACGAAAGTGCTAATCTTTGCCTCATGGCACACGAGGAACCACCGGAAGAGGTATGTACCACTTCCAACGATTCCTACACCTTTGATGATGTTCAAGAAGCCTTCAATGAACTTTATGATGAATATGTCAACGCTTCTAAAATTAACAAGGATTTGAAGAAACAACTTACTTCCATGGAGAAGGAAGTTGATAAACTATCAAAAGATAATGAAAAACTTAAAGAAGAAAATAAGTTTTTCGGGAAAAGAAGCGCCGACAAACCGGAGAGTTCAAAATGNTTCTCATAAAAACCTTAATGATGTTCTTGACAATTTGCAACTTACTAAACATGGCATAGGTTTTGAAAATGAAACCAATAATAAGGAAAAAGTTGAGCAACCACCTAAACAACCTAAGGCTCAACCTAGGAAAACTAAAATGAACAATAATAGACAACCTACATCAACTAGGAACACTAGACCACCTAGAAAGAACACTAGGATAAACAATGATCAAGTTAAAGAATCTATAAACCATTTTCCAAATATGCATAAACAAAACTTTTCTCAAACTAGGGTCAAGCAATATAGAAAACCTAGTAACTATTATCAACCTAGGAGAATGCATAATCCAAATGTTATTTGCCATTATTGCAATAGGGTAGGACATATAGCCCCGGTTTGTTTCACTAGGCATAGGCATTGCACTCAAAACCAATCACACTACCAATGTGCACCTAACGCCCAAGGACCCAAAAGGAATTGGGTACTTAAAACTTTTTAAATTGGTTTGTAGGTGTGCTTGAAGGCATCAAGTGTACTTTGGTACCTTGATAGCGGATGCACAAGCACATGACCGGAGATGCATCCAAGTTTTTGCAAATCAAACCAACTAAAGGAGGAAACGTTGACTTTGGCGATAATAGCAAAGGCAAGATAATTGGCATTGGTTCGGTTGGTAAAAACGAAAACTCCTCTATTGATAATGTTTTGTTGGTTAAGGGTCTTAAACATAATCTCTTGAGCATAAGTCAATTGTGTGACAAGGGAAATCATGTGACCTTCGATTCCAAATCATGTACGGTAGGACGTCTTAGTGACAATAAGATGATTCTTCGTGGTGATAGAATTGATAACATTTACATGGTTAACTTAGATGAATCTCCCTCCGACTTTGCAAAATGTCTCATGAGTAAGGAGGACGATATGTGGCTATGGCATCGCAGAGTAGCTCATGTCAACATGAATCTTTTGAATAAATTGATTTCACAAGACCTAGTAGTTGGCCTTCCAAAACTCAAGTTTGAGAAGGACACCATTTGTGATTCATGTCAAAAGGGCAAGCAAGTAAGGGCCTCATTTAAATCGAAGAATGTTGTGTCTACAACAAGGCCCCTACAACTTTTGCACATGGATCTCTTTGGACCATCAAGAACAAAGAGTTTTGGGGAAAACTATTTCGCCTTTGTAATTGTTGATGACTACTCTCGATTCACATGGACATTATTTCTAACTCATAAAAGTGAGGCATTTCATGTTTTTAAAACCTTTCTCAAAAAGGTTCAAAATGAAAAAGGCTTAACCACCGTAGCCATACGAAGCGATCATGGTGGAGAGTTCGAACGAGATCTCTTTACCGAGTTTTGTGACGAACTAGGCATCGAGCATAACTTCTCCGCTCCACGTAAACCACAACAAAATAGCGTGGTGGAACGTAAAAATCGTTGTCTTGAGGAGATGGCTAGAACTATGCTTGATGAGGCAAAAATTCCTAAGTATTTTTGGGCGGATGCCGTGAGTACCGCGAGCTACGTGTTAAACCGAGCCGTCATTAGACCGATACTCATGAAAACCCCATACGAACTATACAAAGGAAGAAAGCCAAACCTCTCCCATCTTCGAGTCTTTGGTTGCAAATGTTTTGTTCACAATAACGGAAAAGATAATTTGGGTAAATTTGATGCAAAGTCGGATGAAGGAATTTTTCTTGGTTATTCATTGCGTAGTAAGGCTTATAGAGTCTTCAACAAACGCACCTTAACCGTTGAGGA